GAATTGGAGCTATAGAAATAAAATGAATAGAACTGAATTGAATGACCCAAAGCACACAGCCAGGATAACCAAGGAGCAGCTCTGCTAGAAGCAGATCTAGGTTCTGGTGTGGCCTAGCTAGTCTCCAGACCTATACTCAATAGAGAATCTTGGGAGGAAGCTCAGACTCCTGAGAAACCTGATAGATCTAGAGAAGATCTGTGTGGAGGAATGGGCCAAAATCGCTCCTGTAGCGCAAATCTGGTGAAAAAAACAGGAAACCTTTGACCTCTGGGAACAAAGGCTACTGGATCAAATATTAACTTTAATTTTCTCAGGTGTTCTTCTTTGTTCATGTCTCTCTACCTGCCATGATAACTGCAGATTTCCAAGATGGAGGACTAGCAGAATAGCATCGTTTCCTCACTGTTAGCGCTCCTGAGTGTTCGTACCCTCATGATGATGAAGAGGACCAGAGTGACGAAGACGTTGACCTGCGGGTGTTTCCAGGCCTGGGAGTTTCCGATGTAGTCGAATTCGTCAGCGACGCCCTGTTTGGCCCACGTCCGGTTGTCCAACAGAGTCACCAGCGCCTCCCTCTGGGTCAGCTGCCAACCAGAGAGGAGACAAACCTTCAGCTACATCCACAGAAATACGCTTCTGATTTATCCTGGAAAACTTTAAAACACATTTAAAACTTTTCCCACAATTTCCAAGACTGCGTAGAAAAAGCTGCTGAATTTATTCCCATTCAGCCTCATGTGATGCAGTTAACCCAGACCGCTGTGATTACAGCCAATGGGAAACGGCCTGTCGCCATGACAACTACTGCTGGACCATAAACCGTGATGTAATAATGATGATAGCAGCTTCCTGTTAAAGACCAAACAATAAATCATTAAAAGGTAAAACTGTTCATTTCCCAGCAGACAAAGTCCATAAGATAATAATAATATTAATAACAATAACTGAACTTTATTGATCCCACATTGGAGAAATTCCCTCTCTGCATTTAACCCGTTCTCCTTGCGGAGCAGTGGGCCGCCATGGTGTCGCGCCCGGGGAGCAGTGGGCTGCCGTGGTGCGGCACCCGGGGGGCAGTGGGCTGCCGTGGCGCGGCGCCCGGGGAGCAGTGGGCTGCCGTGGCGCGGCGCCCGGGGAGCAGTGGGCTGCCATGGTGCGGCGCCCGGGGGGCAGTGGGCTGCCTTGGTGCGGCACCCGGGGGGCAGTGGGCTGCCGTGGTGCGGCACCCGGGGGGCAGTGGGCTGCCATGGCGCGGCACCCGGGGAGCAGTGGTGCAGCGCCCGGGG